GTAACAATGCATAGAACAATGTACAAATCTAAAGAAGAACGTAACAATGCATAGAACAATGTACAAATCTAAAGAAGAACGTAACAATGCATAGAACAATGTACAAATCTAAAGAAGAACGTAACAACGTAAAGAACAATGTACACAAGACAAAAACCAATGTACCCGTGTAAAGAACAATATTTAAAAAACTTAAAAAACCAATGTACCCGTGTAAAGAACAATATTTAAAAAACTTAAAAAACCAATGTACCCGTGTAAAGAACAATATTTAAAAAACTTAAAAGAACAATGTAACAATATAAAGAACAATAAACAAAACAAAGAACGATGTAACCATGTAAAGAACAATATAAACAAAAAAAGCAATGTAAAGAACCATGTAAACAAAATAAAGAACGATGCACCTATATAAAGAACAATACAAACCCCCAAAAAGCAATGTAAAGAACAACGAAAAAACAACAACTCAATATACAGAACAATACAAAGAATAGAGTACAGAACGAAAAGTGCAACGTCACGCACTCTTGTCAGATTTCACCCAATTTCCCAACTGCCAACTTCATTGTGTCTACTTTGTTTATATTTATCTTCTTATTTTTGGTATTTGTTGTTCTGTGTCCTGATTTGGTGCCGAATGTTGGTTCGTTATGAGTAAAGCATGTTAATGGAGTAGTTTGTGTTAGACCGTTCAGCTAAATAAATAGAGATCGCTGGGAAATAAAGGATTTAAAAAAACCTTTGGTTACCGTGTACCTCTGAGGATTACGTTATTGGAGGTGGTGATAATTATGATGGTGAAAGTGTTGGTGGTTTGTCTGATTTGATTCCACTTTGATATTCGTTAAATTCGACTGAACCCCCCCCACAACAAAACAAACAACAAACAAACGAACAAAACAAACAAAACAAACAAACAAACAAAACCAACAAACATACAAGTAAAAAACAAACAAACAAGTAAACAAACAAACAAATGAGTTTGCATTTCTGTGTCATGCTGCAGACAATTTTCCTATCATGACATCAACACTGAGAGTCCAAGTCGGACTGACTTTCGACCCAACCCGATCACACAGATCCGACTGGTGAAGCAAAGTGTCTCCCTTTCCTTAAACAAACAAAGTCGAAATAAGACCGTCAATTGGTCGCTTTTAAGCACAAGGAGGATATCCCGAAAAAAATATGTTTAAAAAAAATAGAAAATCGAAGGTAAAGCTTTTGCCCTTTGTTCAGTTTCTTTAAAATACAAGGAGAATTTTCTCTAAAACCAAACACATATACACACCAATGAAACCAAACTTCTCCTATAGGTAGGGCAATGCCCACTTTTGGTGTAGGTCAAGATTTCTG